ATGCGCCAATTCTATCAACTGTTTCATTGAATTACATATCGGCCCGAACTGAAACGATTATTTATTTATAAATAAATTTTACATTATAAGATCATCTTCATACTAGGCGAAAATGCAAGCAATAGAATTCAGATTCAAATTAAAAAAAAGTAGAAACAAAGGAAGGACCTTTAACACCTAAGATATATCATGTACTAATTAGAAAATGAGCGTCTCTTAAAAAATTTCCTTTCCAATTCATATTTCCTAATTTTTCGCCTAGTGTGCAAACTAATTCAAAAATTCTTACTGCTTTTGATATTATTTCGGTTTCTTCTTGTTTCAGTAAAGGCCTGACTTCTTGAAACAAAAACAAACTGATTACTTCTGGAGTTAACCAGTTGGTTACGCCTTGAGTCGTCGGGGGCTCCCCTAGAGCTATAATTTGGAAACCGGAATGAATTTTTAAAATACCGCTTTCATGAAGTTGTTCGTCAGAAAGACCATAGTTTTCTTTAATTTTGTCATATTTCTCAGAACTAATCAAACGTTTGCCATCATAAAGTTGTAATTCTCTATCGTGTACAAGTCTGGAATATAGATTAATATAGAAGGATAAATATATATACATTTACATCAAAATTGTGATGTACCTGTGCAATACAGAAAGTGTGCTTGAATGTATCCTATGAATACCGTCAAGTACGGCAATTTTGCCCTCCAAAGCCGCTGTTATTAGTGGAGAAAATCTCCATACAGTGTCTCCATTTTCAAGGGTAGTTCTTTGTTGTATCAAATCTCTGGAAGTCATATCGTGATATAAAACTATATCTTCCGTGTCTTTGTTCACAAGATTTGAAAGTTGAGAAGTTAAAATGCTTTTGCCGCAGCCTTTGGGTCCTATCACACACAAATCAGTCACTTTTGTGCTTTGCAACATTTTTTCTAATATTTGTTGTTGATATGGTGTTTCAATAAAGGTTTTGGTTTCTTTATTCTTAAGGAGGTTCTTAAAACTCTGGCTTAAATTACTTAATGAAATTGTTTGTTTATTTTTTGACATTATTTTAAATTGCTCCAGTAGTATCTCTACAGATTTAATACTCGACTTTGGAAGAAGGTAATATGGATATAAATAAGAAATTACGTCGTGAACTGTTACACCGGGGTTGTTTTCCTATAAGATAAACATTGAAATACAAATTAGATGTTTTGTATTGTTTTCAATTTTCTTACCAATATTTTGACGGCAAATTTTAAATTTTCAACAGGAAAATCGGGTAAACCCATTGCTAAACTTTCTTTGCTATTTAAAGCAAAAGCTGCCGAAACAAGGCTTTCGATTTTTTGAAATGGGAGGGTGGGTGCTATATCTTTAAGCAACGAAAGATATTCCTGCAAGTTAAAATTTATTTGTAATTAGACTATTAATGAAAATTTTCATTTTGATAGAGGGCTCCGCACTAAAAAATGGAAGAAAGCAGGATTTCGGTGTTTGTACATTACGGTTTATTGTTTTGGTAATTAGTAAAATGCAATTAAATTTCACAGTTGGAGGACATGTTTACAAACAGGGGAGTAAATAACAGATCGAAACGTAAGACATCAGATAGGATATTAAATGAAAGGGTTCTACTTATATATTTCAATTAATTTGATTTTGAAAAAGTGTAAAATCATCGGCAAGCGAGTGAAACTCAAACTTTTACATAAAAACTACACAGGAAAATGCGAGAACTAAATTCTCATAAAAGTATTTATATTCCTGATTTTGCAGCCATTATGGTTTTTTTATAAGTAGTTTTCTAATTTAAGCAGAAATAAGAATTTAAAAAATGTAAACTTGGACTGTTTACACGCGCGTTCCGCTGAAAATTGACTTCAATTCCTAAAACTATCGTTGCAATCTAAGCCCATTAACCGGACGAATTTGTAAAAGTCATCCAACTGAAGCGATTACCTTATCCGTTTCAATTGCCAGCCGACATGCAACTAGTTTCAATTACCCTTGCAATATATCAATTACCACAGTTAATTTACTCTTGAAGTAATTGCGGATTTTAGTTATTACAAAATGATGACCAAAAAAGAACTTAAATTAGGAAAACCCAATTCTCTTTTAATCGATTATTCGTCACGATATTGTGGTATTAACACAAACTGTTTAGAAATTGCAGTTGAATTTTATACTATATATATATGAATACCTTCTAATTCTTTAACTGATGAGAATCCAAAAAATTCTAAAGTTGTTGGAAATGAATAATCTAAAATATTGGATCGACATTGTTTTCCGGGTTCAATGTCATGGTCCATGGAATTTTGAACTTCCAAATTGATATCAGCACCTGCCAAATCACCACTTATCGTACCTTTAGAAAGGAACTACGAAATTTTAAGAATTACGACAAATCAGCCCGCAAAACAATATCGAATTGATATACGCCAGCTGTGGGAAACTGAAAAGAACAAGATATTGTGGTGAACTAATAAGTGCGTGTAATCCAAAATAGAAAACCATTTGAAAAACTTCACTTATTAGATGAACCCAAAGCTAAAGAAACTATGGATTCCATTTACTTCTCTTATAAAAACGTGTAAAAGATCAGAAACAAAATGGGGTTGTATATATTTTGATATAAAATGATTGATGTTGATTTTAAATCAATAAAATTATTTGCAACCCTATTTTGGTTCTGATCTTTCACGCTAAGCTGTTTTGTTGGAATTTTATTTCTTAACTATTTCAAAATAGTTTGTTTATTTTCCGAGGGTGATTATATCAGTTGCTTTGACTTTATAACTCGGTGTCCGCATTGCACAGCATACATAGTACCCCCAATATACACCACAGAAATTTCACTTATCCTGACATGGGGACGCATTAGTTGGCAAACCATTCAGGAAACGTTAAATTGTCACTTTACGACTCCAGAACACGCAATATTTGTTTTAAGCCACGCTCAAATGTATGCGATTGGAATATAAAACGTAACATTGTCGGCTAATTGCAAATATTATAGTTTGTGTTAACTTTATTTACGCTGATTTTGCATGAAAACTCTCAATTCTATTGCGTTTAAAACTCCTTAGTCTTTAGCTAATTTTTAAAACATTATTTAAACGAAAAAAAAATAAATATACTAATATCTAATCATGTAATCCACAAACTAATTTATTTGTACATTTGTTCGATTAGGGACAATCTTCAAAATTGACAAATTCGTATCATTATTAAAGTGCCTTAGTTACCTTTTTAATGCACTGCCTGGTGGCGCAGAAAAATTCTCAACTAACAATGGGGAGCAATTTAATTATTTAATGCAGCCCTTGAATAAAGGGTTGCAAAAACTGAAACACCTCGCATTTCAAGGAGGCTTTGTTCAAGAAAAAAGTGAACGACACCACGTTTAACGTTCTTTGTTCGTAAATATTGTCATTAGAGGTTCAACAACCTATCCAAAGAGGGATAGTAGATTGAAGCTGATTAATCAAGTTTTCATGACAAAAATTTGGGTCAAATTCCAAAACAGTAACATACTGTGAAGTGGAAATTAGAAATAATGAAACAGGAAAACGGTAATAATGGTTTGTCGTCTGTCTAGCCTTTCCAAGGTTTACCGAAAAAGGTCAAAGGTAAATACCAATCATCAGATTATTAACAGTAATTAGTGAGAGTGCATTATAATATTAACTACTTACACTTACTTTTTGGCACTATCAAAGGCGTCAATAAATGAATTGTTTTACTATTTGAAAAGCAATAAGGAATTTAACCAGAATAAAAAAAAGTAAACTTTTAGGTAATTCAATGCAAAATGTTTATTAAATACTTCATCAACTGTTAACAAATATATGACTGTTTACATTAAAAGTACTGCTCATATTACTTTCTGTGTCAGTTCCAATAGTATCAAAAGTTGGTATAAATATGTGAATTTCTTTTTTGGATGAGTCGGTTTTCTTTATTTTCTGAGTACCATTGGAACGATTTTGATCGTTATGATCAATATTGGAAGATGGATTTTGATGTTTATATTTATTAGAAGTGTCTACTGTTGCTTCTGAAATAACATGTTTTTCGGTGTTGAAATCATCACAAGATCGAGAAGCGCTGTCTTTGCTTGAAGATGGTCTGGATTCTTCTATATTCTCATCAGTCCATACATGTTTTGTGAGTGGCTTGTTTTTATGATGTAAAATTGTATTTTTAGACGTCTCCAGATTTTGTTCGATGTTAGTTTTATGTCCAATTTTATCTGTAGTTGTTGCCGCACTTTTAGCATTTCGTTTTGGGATTTTTGAAGTCGTTGAATGTTTATTATTATGAATTAAAGTTGGATCGTGAACAACCGCACTTTTCGACTTACTCCTCCTTTCTTCTTTCGCCAAATCTGGTGAAGGGTTGGTTTCATTTATGGCCGCCAAGTCAAGCCAATGCAACACTCTTTCGCTAAGGGAGTCGTTTTCCAAGAAACTTTGTTTTAACGAATTTATAGGAACATTGGAATTTTGGACATGGTCCACTTCATAATCGAAACTTTTGGATAACTTTAATCCACAAGTTGTCCATTCTAAATTTTGAAGTTTCATTTGTTTAAGGGGATGACTTTCTATCAATACTTCGCTTGTTGAATTAAGTTCTGGACTGTATATGGTTAATTCGCGTTTCGTTTGAACAGTTTTTGATCGATTGTGGAATAAGCGAGCCGTGGAGATCTGCAGAATCGTCTGAGGAGGTGATTCAGGAAGCGGCGATGGGGACTTGGAGATAGAATCGTTTTCAGAATAAAGCGATTGCGTGATTTGTCTTTGATGCGATTTCACATATGGGTCTTTGTCGAATAAAACAACGTGCCTGTGGCCGTCGACCCAAATCGTTCGAACCGATAAAGATCGACTACTTGATTGCCATCTGTTTCCAACCATATTTATTTTCGCCCCTTTTTTGTTACTCTTCATCCAACATTATGATAAATAAGCAATCTTCAAAAGTGCTTGACTGTGGTAACTGTTCCTTTATGCTTTACACAAAAAGCACTTTTTAAACAAATTATTATTGTCGCGTAAAAATAACTTTCAAAAACTCATGAAAATCACTTTCAATAAAAAGAATGAAGCTTTTTTCCGGTTCCGTTGACTTGCTCGAATAGCGGGGTTATTTATAACTAAATTCTTGAATCGAAAACACCCCTATTTTTTTACTATAAAATTCCATGCTAATGACGACACTTTGTCACGCGAGTTTTATTTTGGCGACATCGGAATGGTCGGTACGACAACGATTAAATAGAGCGAGCGACAGGCCCACGACCGATTGAGCTCCTTCTGAAATTGCGGAATATCTTGAAGCCGGAAACGCGCAAGATGCAATAAAATTCTTCCTTTTGTTGTTGCGCAGTTAACTCATTCATAAATAACTGCACTATAACAATTTTTAAAGTCCCTAATTTAAGGATTTCAATTTGCTTGAATTTATAAGTCGAGGCGTTCCTGACAATAAAGGAAATAAGAAAAAAATAAGCGTCAATATAAAAAGATAATAAAATATATATCGTTTAATTCTGGTTAAAGTAGAATTTGGTGTTTTAATTGTATGGTATATTCTAAAAAGCATATCGTGAATGCAAGCTGTTTTGCTGGGTATATTTTAAATTAATTTAATTTAACATTTTCTTTCAATTAAGTAATTTATAAACTGCCATTTGCATAAAAAGTTACTATGCTTTGTACACCATCGTGTTGCGTCTGTTGCGTATTTTACTATGAGGCAGAAGTAGAAAGCTTTCCCTTATCCGCATAGGTACCTTGTCCTCTGCCCCCTCTTTTTAGTGCTAAGGAACATGTATAGCTACACCCGTTGGGATCATCGTTGTATTAAATATCATTAACTTCATATTAAACAGGAACATCCTGATAATTTTTATTGGATAAAGATGATCATCATCAGTCATAAAAATGATCAACATCTATCCAGTAGTTTTTGCGCGATGACGCTCATCGATACAATTTTATTTATGTTGTTAATTAGTAGTAGAAAATATAAGAAATAATATTTAGTAGTAGTAATACAACTATTACTAACGATAAGTAAATTAGTTTTATTTGTTTATCCTTTAGTTAGCAGTAGTTTACTATAAACGACATTTAATTTTTTGTTAGGTGCGACGATTCCCATTTAATTATATAATATATATATAATAACTTTATTAATACTCCCACTCAGTTTGGACAAAACAATAAAAAACATCATTTTACTAATAAGTTTCACTTTACCTGGTAAGTGTCTACATCTACATTTCTGGCTTGAAACCTTGACCTTAAAGGGGGATCCAATGGATTTCCAATATACCTTGAAAAAAGAAATATGTTATGAATTCTGTTAAATTGGTAGATCATTGTTTTTACTAGAAGAACAAAATTATGCTTAAATACTTATTATGGTTTTTAAAAAGGTATTTACTTTGGAACAGGAAGTCCTAGAGCTATTACACGAAAATCTTCACTGACCCTTACCAATTTCCATTTGTCAAGTTCCTCTTTACCATGTTCCTGGAACAGAAAGAAAAAATTAACAATATACTAATAAATCAGCCATGTAACCAGTCATCCCAAACTGTTACACAAGGTACATATATCTGTGACCTAATAAGTGTGCAAAAACTTACTAAATGATTAAATTTAAATACTTTTGCCTCCACATGAATTACTTTAATGTTCTACTAACAGTAATATAACACTGTACAATTATTTTTAAGACATAAGATATTAATATTCAATAGTGAAGTAGTTAGGTAGTAGTTACCTGTAATAACTTATCATAACGAGAAGCAGGTATAAGTAGTCTACCATCTTCTAAATGCATTTCTCTATTTTCTAAAAGATTATTTAATACTGGGAGCACATTTCTCTCAGCTTTCTCAATGCCTTCTAGCACCAAAACACTACCCTGTGTGGCAGCTCTAACAGCACTCTAAAATAGTAAATAAAAACATTATAGTTATATTGTAAACTGCAGTTGAATGATGAGCTCAGACCTGATCAAAATATTTGGCTGTTCCAGATGCTATTTCTCTTCTTTGTTTTAAATCAGACTCTGTTGTGTCTCTACTCAAGGCAACGTATTCTACTTCTCTGCTAGTTAGTTCTAAATACTGCATAGCAATATTTCGTTTCTTTGGACCAGGGGGGCCTAACAGGAAAATATCCTGTCCTAAAATATCCTTCTGCATCATCCATCTTAAATGATGTAATGTGCTTTGACCACAGTTTTCTTGTACTACAACGTTTTGATGAGCGATGATTATTTTAATGTAATTTCAAAAATAACTTACAGTAAGACTGAGGTACATATTGAGGATTCTTGGGAAGTTTAACTACTTTTGTAATATTTCCTAAGGTAATTTTAACATCAGAAGAGTACTGTTTTGTGCAAATATAGGTAATTTTGTGCTGCCTGTAATTTGTAAAATGATATGTTGATTTGTGTATTCCAAAATAATTTCTCATTGTATCTGCTTCTTAAACAAAGTTTCACAAAATAACCATACATTTCGTCAAGTAAGTTTGAAAAAACCTTGTTTAAATGTAATTTTATCAAGGTTGAGTACAAAGGTTAGGTCACCTAAACTAAAACTTTGACGTTTATCTAGGCAACTTTCAATACTTGGTTGAAGTCGATTATTAGTAGTTGCATATACCACGTATTGTAGTTGTAGTTTTGGCACTTTTTAAAACTAACTTCTTTTAAAAAATAATTGATGCTTTTTTTTACAAAACCACTAACTTGAACTACTAAGTAATCAGCTCTTATTTTGAAAAATTGTTATGTTTTCAATAATTTTTAAAGTTATTAACAACTTTGCTTAATTTAGATGCTTCAAAATTGAAATTTCTCAGAGTTTAATGTAGACAAGAAGTTCAGCAATACCTAAATTAATATTCTTGCTTGATTTTGTATTTGGTACTGTTATTTTTATTTACAGACTGTTATACTTTTTTAAGAAGAATGCTAATTGTTAAAAAAGTAAGATACTAAACTATTTTAAAAACATTCGAACGAATTTTATGATCAAATAATTTAATGATAATAGTAATAATAACTGATGCTTATAAGACTTTGTCAAGTAGGGGGGTAAATGAATGCAAAAAAAACAACGCAAAACAAACGGTTTTAAAGCCACGAAATAATTACATAATTATCGTCGCCAGAATACATAATGTAGTAAGTCGGTAAAGCTTATCGCAACTTCAATCAGCAATTAAAGACACTCTTAGTCCCTTACGTTGACATGGAAAATGTCTAATGTTTCTGTCCACTATCAAAATAACCATCTTTTTACTACCAGGGGAAGTTTTTTAATTATAAACTAAAATGTTCGGGTTATTAAAAAAAAAAAGAAAATTGGGTAGTGGTAAAGGGTTTAATAGTAAGATGTGGTGTTATGGGGGGATGTTTAAAATACCGTGAAAAGAAACGGCTAAAAATGAAGAGGGATTACAAAGGGTAGGAGAACAAAGAAGTCAATAGGAAATGGATGAGCTAGGTTCATAGCACATCTCAGAGATGAAAGGCTAGTCGAGACATATTAGAAGCAGAAGTAGGAGTAAAGAGGGTTTATAGTCCACAGATAGTTAGAGAAATACGAAGATTGAAATAAAAAATAAGTGTGGAGGTACGTGTTCAACCAGTTTTCGGTCTGAAGGGCTTATAAAGATGATGATGAATGATTTTGGAAATCCTTTTGCCCAGAGTAGAAATGTTGTAATTGTAAATATTAGGATTGCGAAGCAGGAGAGTCCTGAATTGCTGTAGGTCTGTCCTCAAGAATACAAAATATTGATATAAATATATCTCAATAAATATTATATTGCTATGGTGCGTCTGCCTGTGCCGCACTATTTCTTAACATGAGTGAAGCTAAGCTTGTTAATTTGATATATGGTACATTTCGTTATATATTTATTGGAAAATTTTCAGAAATTTTAATATCTCATAGTAATAATTTCATTTATAAACTTTGTACTCATCTATTCACCTTCTTTACGACTACCCCCTGTAAATCACTAATTGAACGTAAAATCAACATGCAAAGAAAATATTTTTCCAAGACATCAGTGACTTGCCCTTTAACATGTTAGTCGTTTTTGCTACATAATCACTACATTCCGTGTTTTCATTCCAATAACGGACATTTGCACGTAAAGTCACTTTGTTACTGTTTAACAAATTGAATTCAGAAAGCGTTAATTATGAAATTTCCTTATTGGCTATTGTCAATGTTATTACTCTTGGTAAAAAATGCCTATTGTGTGTTAAATCCGTTACCAGATGAGACTTTGGCTAGGGAATCGTTGGTCCAATGCGTTTTGAAAGCATGTAAACAATACGTGGATGCTGGAGAGATCATAAAAGTGTCGTTGGCTCTTACAGAAGTTGATTCGTCATCTCGTTCATCTGCGGTCATTGATAGGATACTTCTCAAAGCACTCTTTGACGAGGACAAATGGTCTGTAATCGTTAAAAAATCGAAAGAGTCTTTAAGTGGAACGTTTCTGAAAAGCATTAGTGACTATATCATACAGGTAAGACATCCAACTGAGTTGCAGGATCATCTGAAGGGACTAAAGCACTCTCAAGATTGGAATCCTCATGCCCAATTTTGGATAATCACTGTAAGGACGTTTAACGACAGTTTAAATGTCATGAAAAACTTTACGAATCTGCTGTGGTCTTACAAAGTCACCAACGGTCTTATCTATTATCCACGGGCTAACGACAGTAAGAAGTTTGATATTTATTCCTATTTTCCTTACAAGGGAAAGTATTGCGGCGATCCCAGCGAAAGCATTGAAGTAATTAATAGCTGCTGGTTCGGAAAATACAAGTTTAAAACAGATTTATTCGAAAATAAGATTCCCAAAAACCTTCACAGATGTAGAGTAAAGGTCAGGGTTATTGTTTTTCCACCTTATGCGATGCCACCGGTAAACAAAAATAATAACGGGGAGCTCATTTTCCGACACGGTTTGGAAATAAGTATGATGAATTTTATGTCCAACGTTTCCAATTTTCGAGTCGATTATTCAGCAGCTATAAGTAAAAGCGATTGGGGTGTAATTGAGGAAAACGGTACTGCAACTGGTTCACTGTTGTATCTCCAGAACGAATTCATTGACATCCTGATTGGTGCGTTTTCTGTTACTTTGGAAAGATTGAAATATTACGACATTGTGCCTTATGACTTCCTGGAAGACGTCACCATGTGCGTTCCCCATGCTCTGGATAAGTCCCAGTGGGAAAAACTTATCGACGTTATGTCATTAGAAGCGTGGTGTGTCGTTGTCATGGGGTTTCTCATTGTAAGCCTTTCATTGTGGATCTTTTCCAAATATACTTTCAAGGAATTGAGATATTTCAAGAATTTGGAAAATACTGTCCAAGCTTGTTTTGCCGTTTTGGTAAGCAACCCCATCAAGCAGCCCATTACCTTTACGATTCGGATGATCTTTTTCGTTTGGGTATTGTTTTGTTTGCATGCCACCGTTGCCTATCAAACTTCTTTGGTCAGTTTTCTTACCAAACCCAGATACGGGAAACAAGTCCAATCATTTTCTGACATTGTCGAGAACAACTATACTATCCTGTTTCTTCCAAACACTAAAAGATATTTCATTGATCGAACCGAAGATGATTCGATTTCAAAAATAATATCTGATAAAATGGCAACCTGCGATGATGTACCAGCGTGCCTTCGAAAGGTTGCATACGAGAGGAATGCTGCAATGGGGTCTCCGAGGCTTTACATGAAATACGCCCTAAATAATTACAGATCACCTGATGGGGAACCGTTGCTATACTGCTTTAAGAACAGCGTGATCACATACAGTTTAGGAATGTTAATGTGGAAAGGATTTCCACTGAAACCGGTCCTGGGCAAATTAGTTTCCGCCATGACGTCAGCCGGTTTCATCATGAAATGGGAGAAGGAAATTTTTGCAGCTAAACTAAAGTACGATTCAGAGGAAGAAGAAATCACCCAAAGCAGAAAAGCAAATAGCAAACTGACTCTGTTGGAGTTGGAAGCAGTATTTATTCTATTGATGGTTGGAAACTTGGCGGGATTGGTGGTCTTTCTGTTTGAGATATATTTTTATCGAAGAATGAAAAGAAAGAAGTGCGAAATAGAAAGGAAATCAAAAAAACGATTTTGAAATATAATGTAATCTAAAATTTTAATCCTCATGTGAGAAATTCGAGCAATTAAAATTGAAATTAAATTAATGTTGCTGCAATTTTGAAGTAAATTCCGAACACCACACACCTAATTGTGTAGACTGTAGAGGTGTATGTAGATTTTTAGAAACACGCACTTCATGTTGTTTCATTATTGTAATATTGTATAACAAATAAAAAGGAATTAGTTGAACGAATATTTAATCAATTAAAATGACTTCTTATAAACAATACATTTATCGTTACATTTATATTTTATTTTCTTTTCAGAATAACTTAAAAATATTAACACAGCCGAATATTTTCAAACCTTTACATACAGATACAATTTTGTAATAAGTGTACTTACATCTATTTTATTTCCAATTCTTTATTCTACAATAACGGTGAATTATATGAAGGTGGGTACTATAAATAAAAATATTTTTATGTGACATCTCACCGTCAGTTAAATAATAATTAGCTGAATTTCCACTGACTTTTTGGACAAATTAAAAATCATTTTTAATATCGTGTTGAATAATTTTATTCAAACACGCTAAGCGGTTGAAGAACTTCTCTCTTTCGTTGGTTCTGCTTTTTCATCTGAAAAGGAAAAATAAGTTTAATAATAAATAAATAAATGAATAAAAAGGGAGAGAGATGTCCACTAACACATTCTATATTTCGTCAGGGTTCTCTAGACCTAAGGAATTTAGAGCAAGTTAGGAAAAAAGGGTTCTTTGTTTAATTTACAATATAACTGAATTATTGCGCCAAATTAATTTTTTTGTTCATCCTTTTTTCGTCGTGTAAGCCCAGGATAGAAAACAGTGGAGGTGCGTGACCAACCAGTCTTAGGACTAACGACCTTATGATGATGATCAGTAAGTACGAGGGTGGATTGATAAGTTTCCGGCCTAACCAAGAGATGACGCCACTAGGCCTACCTTGAGGTGACATTCTATAGTACCATCCTTGGATAGCTTGTAGCTATAGTTTCAGCCCGATCTCCTTGCTAGTGTAGGTTTGACAGCACGCTGAACAAGACGCCTCTGTGGTTTTCGTAAAAATGGAAAAGCAGGAAAATCGTGCTGTCATCAAATACTTTTATTTGAAGGGGTTAACGCCGAAGGAAATTAAAAAAGAGATGGACTCAACACTGGGGACATCCTCCCCGTCATATTCAACCGTTAAGCAGTGGGTTTCCGAGTTTAAAAAGGGTCGTGTGAGCACCTCTGATGGGCCTCGCTCAGGACGCCCCGTTGAGGTCACAACTCCAGATATGATCGAAAAAATTCATCAAATAGTGCTGGGAGACCGCAGATTGAAAGTGCGTGAGATAGCTGAGACCTGTAAGATGTCATATGAACGTGTGCAACATATTTTGCACCAACATTTGCATATGGAAAAGCTCTGTGCAAGATGGGTGCCGCGTTTGCTAACAGTCGACCAAAAATTGATTCGAAAAAACATTTCTACCGCAAATTTGTCATTGTATAAGCGTAATCCAAGCGAATTTTTGCGTCGATTCGTAACCGTTGACGAAACGTGGGTCCACCACTACACTCCTGAAACCAAAGAACAGTCTAAACAGTGGATTGGACCAGGGGAACCAACTCCAAAGAAGGCAAAAACAATTTTTTCGGCGAACAAGGTTATGGCTACTGTTTTTTGGGATGCAAGAGGTATTATATACATTGATTACCTTGCAAAGGGTAATACTATCACTGGTCAATACTACGCAGACTTATTGCAACGTTTGAGCCACGAGGTGAAAATTAAACGACCTCATCTGGCGAAGAAAAAAATCTTGTTTCATCACGATAACGCACCAGCGCACACGTCAATCGTTGCGACGGCTAAAATCAACGATCTAAAGTTTGAATTGATGCCGCACCCTCCTTACTCTCCAGACCTAGCCCCGAGTGACTATTTTCTGTTCCCTAATCTCAAAAAATGGCTTGGCGGTAAGAGATTTGCGGACAATGAAGAAGTAATCGAAGCTGTAAATGGTTATTTTGAGGAGCTTGACGAATCAGTCTATAGAGATGGCATTAATAGACTGGAACACCGCTATGAGAAATGTATCAGCCTTGGAGGAGATTATGTTGAGAAATAAAAAAAAAAAATTTTTAAAAACCTTGTTTTTCTTGGTCAGGCCGGAAACTTATCAATCCACCCTCGTACCTTTCTTATTGCTGTCCCATGGTTGTTTTTCTCCTGATCCAAAAACGACAAACACAATATTTCCAAAGAAGAAGAGGCCTCCAGCAATATAAAATACTTTTGCCCATTGTGTGCTGTCGCTGCTATCTAATACAAGAAGTTGTACTATCAGCGGTGCAATGATGGAGCATACTTGTGATGTACCATTGGTAAAACTCATTAGAACACCTGCGTAAGTAGGGGACAAGTCGATAAGATTAACTAGAAAACCGCTTAGATGGGCACCATTAAGGGCAACACCAATTATCAGCAATGCCATGGCCACGCCACGCCCTAAATAGCCAATACCACCTAGTAAAAAAAGGGCAATTCCTGGTCCAATTTGACCTGAAAGCATAATAATAAAAGTAAAGTCATGTTTTGTGCCTATTTAGTTGTGAAGGTACTTATTGTATTGGCAATTTTTCGACCAATTCCAACCGAAACAAGTTTTTTATTAATTAACGCATCCGTCATAGCCCCAAATACAAAGCTCATAATCCACATGGCTAAATAAGGACAAGCTGAAAGAAGTCCGTTCTGAAAACCAAGTTATCTAAAGGTAATATAAATTTACGAGTTATTCTGCATTATTTACGTCTCTTACTAAATTTTTATATAAAAGAAGTTAAAAAACTGGATCACTCTTGTGAGATATTGACATTATTACCTGCGAGATGTTGAAGCCATGTACTCCACTAAGATACAATGGCATTTCGGTTAGAATAGTAAAAAATCCCCAGTTGTGGGCGCATGCAGTGATAAAAGTAGCCCATACTGGAATCGATTTTAGAATGGATAACCACGGTACTTCCGAAAACTAGTAAAACAAATTTACCTTCAAATTCAAAAACTAGATTTCATGTACTATCTAGAGAACGAATCCTTACCGGTATTTGAATGTTTGAACTTCCTAAAGAAGTTTCAATGTAGTTTTTCTCAGCCTCGCTGATACTTTTATGTTTGGCAGGGCTCTCACTTCCAAAAATTACCCAAAAAATGCACCATAAAAACCCCAGCGCCCCAAATAGATAAAATGCAGTTGGCCATCCCGCGTTACTGTTGGCAATCCAACCCGTCGTTGGCATTGAAATGATTGTACCGAAAGAATTTCCTTCAAATAAAATTAAAACACATTTGCATTTGAAACCTTCTAATCGCTAATAAATTCGCCATACCAGCGTATGTTAGTGTCCCTAGAATTGATCTTTCTGATGGTGGTGCCCATTTACTGAGCATTACGTGACAACCAGGAAAGAAAGCACCCTGAGCAAGTCCTTGAAATATCCTGCAAACCATAACTGCCCACGATCCCGTGGAAGCGGCCACTGGGATAAGAACAGAGGTCAGAGCACTGAGAAACATTGAACCAAAAAGTAACCATTGTGTTCCTGTTTTCTTGATAACAATTCCAGCAGCTACCTGGGCTACAACGTAGCCCCAAAAGAACGAAGATAGTATTGTACTCTTATCAGTCCATTGGTATGTCTAAAATGCAGTAGCAATAATTGTTTAATTTTGAAATTCTAAAAAGTTTATTAAACACGTAAGTAACTATCCGGGTGGAGTGCCACTCTGTAATGGGGCAAAAAATAGGAAAGATGTGCTGTTATAGGAAGACGATAAAAATACCTTAGATAGATCAAGTTACAAATGGGGATGTATTGGAAGAAAGAAGTCAATAAGAAAAAGGGAGAGAAAGGACAGTGGGACACCTTCTGAAAAGTGAATAGACATATTAGATCAGAAACAGGAGTACAGACTAGAAAGATCTAAATTAGATTAGGCACTAATCGTATATAGCTGGGGATATGGGGTGGTTTGGTTTTTGGTAAATGCGAAGATTGACTTAGGATAAGAAGGGGTGGAGGTGCGTGTCTAACCAGTTTTTGGACTGAAGAGTTTGTATTTATGAGGTGCTCAAGAAGATAGAGTCAGAAGGAAACAAGAAGGTAGAGGACCTCTGGTATTTAAGGCTTTTTTTGAAAATTTATCTCATATTGTTTCCTGTGACACTCAGTATATACACACCCTATTTCTAATAATAAAATGAAACAATGAATTCTTCTTAAGTCTTTAAAAGCAAATCAAAGACGTTGGCTCTTAGAGAGAATATTAAATAGATGTTTCTGACAAAATAAAATTTCGCTTCCTCATACGGGAATATTTCCAATTGCTGCATTGCAGGTCAAACTTTGACTGTTATTTTATCGAATTAGATGTGACAACGATTTGAAAATAATTTTGGGACGGAGTCAAAATCGCGAAATTGAATGATAGAAGAAAAGAAGGAGCTTAGCCTGTACAGGTGGATTTTGCCACCAAATAATATAATACCTACATACATTGATATTTTGCTTATTATTAGAAATCAATTTAAATTTTGCCAAAAAATACTTGTGAAAAATGTTTTAATTGTGGAAATTAATGCGCTTCATCGTTTCACAGTCAGATGGCGGTACGATTAGGTTTCTACTGTCTTCTTACAACTAATTTATACTGATCTGTCAATTAATTAATTGATAAAAGGCAAGGAATACCGAGAAAAATATAAAATTTACTTACCGGGAAATCTGGATTAACTGAGCTATCAGTCATTGCAACGATTCCTACTGATAAGCACACTCTCATTGCGTACCCAAACGATATGAGAAAAAATAATAGAACCACTTGAACATGTCTATACCCCAACCCACCTTAAATTAATAAATAATAAATAAACCCATACTTTCAGGTACCGTAAAACAATAAAATTTGTTATTCCACTATACCTGTTCCATTGCTGTCTTTGGTAATCGTAATAGTTTTCGAGAATCGATGAAAAACCATTATAAGAATAACGCAAACTGCTTACTTAAAACCATTCTTAAACCTACATGTTATTTATTTATTCATCTATATTAAACTAAAGTAAAAACAACTGATGTATTCTCAAAAGCTTTTGTTTTCGTTATTCAATGGTGAATTTTATGAATGTTTGGTTTGCCGCAATTGAAGGACGTCATGCTATACTTCCTTTAAATGCTTAAAAATATTTGATAATTGTGGAATACAAAGTATACATTATGTAATTCCCTTTGCATTCCTACTGATGTATTTGTCAGTGACTAGAGAATGACGGCGTTGAAATTATTCCAAAAATTCCTTTGCGCTAACGATAGCAAAAAGAATTAATAAGTTTGTTTATTTGGTTTAGGCGTAAATGTAAAGTTACAATGTTACTTTATAATGTTCAGTGGGAAATGGGATATCTACCAATAAATTAACTAAGTAATTTTTTTAAAGAAATGAAAGTTTAAAAAATATTTTAAATGCTTCCAAAGGTCAGTTTTACCTTGATATAGACCTATGAGGACTTACTACACTATTTATTCATTTACTCTCTAAAAGTATAACACTGAAAACTTCACTTATCTTCACAATGAAATAATAATTATAGGTGAATTTAATGTTATCTAGGTATAGAAAAATAAACATTACTGACTCATCAACGTTCGAGCTTGCGCCTAGATAGCTGAAACAGAAATTTATTTTATGATATATACAAGAAAAAGGAGGATATTTCGAAATTTAACCCCAATGGGGTAGTAAAATTTGCATAGAAGATTTTTGTTTGTGGTCAGATTTACTTGAAACTTGGTCTACATTTTCATATAATTAACCAAATATCTATACCGACATTCGAATGACAATGAAGACTTGTACTTCCCTTATGCAGCATTCACGTTTCTGTTTTCTTCAACTTTCCAAATGTTTTAGCTGCTTGTAATCTAATTTATTTTTCCTTTACCAAATTACACGTTTTAAATTTTCGCGCTTCCTTATTGATTTCGCTGATAGAGGAAACACCTGGGTACATAGCATGGAAGAATGTAATAACCTGTCAATAGGTGGCTCAATTAACATTAAAACTTTTCAAATGTAATTTAATAATTTATTTTTTATTTCAAAAATTTAACGGGATATTTCGCACGATAAATATTATAACAACAACTAAATACCTTGCTTGCAGGAGGAAATGTAAACCAGAAAACCAGGACAATTAAATATATGAGATTGAAAATATAATTAGAAAGTGCTTTAAGTTGTCTTTTCTGTAGCTTTTTAGTTAATGTTGAAACATCTTCATTTAACAAAGCCATTATTACTTCCGAAATTACCGGAAGTGAAGTAGCGGTATGAAAAATTTGTAATTTAATAATACCAAAAGGAAATAAGTTTTGGCCACAGTCAAATCAGATTGTTATCAACAAAAGGAAATTCAGAGGTTAATTGTTATTGCTGATTGGGAATGCATAAATTATTTAGTAAGTGAAATAGTACTTGTCATTGAAAGAATTGTTTAGAATCCTTTTTTAATGGTACTAGTGCATGAAATAAGAACCAAGTGAACTTAAATCGATATTCACATTATTAATGTTCATGGGGTCAAAAAGCTAAATAGCCCTTTCCCCGGAATACGGAAGAAACGTTCTTGTATTGATCTCATTCACTGGGTTAGGATTGCAACCGTATGGTCGTTCACCTTTGACCTCCCAACTGCACGAGCTTCAGTGCAACCTCTACCTGGATGTGATCCTTCTCTTTATTCGCAATCTAAATCACCGAGATAGACATGCTCGAAAGTTCAATCAGTAATGTCCAAACGTATGACGATATATATAGCCGGGCACATATTGTAGGTATTGGGTTTTGGAATTGACCCAATCAATCAATTCTATAGGCACAACTAATCAAATAGATCGTGAATAGGGTAATTACTCGAGCTGTAGAATTTGCATGTGCATGGAAGCCTTCGCTTTTTTTTGTTTTGTAAATTTATTTCCACGCGAGAATTTCAACGTTTTGAATAAGCCGTCGTGTTTTTTATTTACAGGGTAATTTACACCTCTTTCAACGTTTTAATTCAGCGATAGTTAATCTTTCATTTACAAGGTAATCTACAGACTTGTTAGGATTAGTTAAATTTGTGATATAAGAAAACACAATTTGATTTACGCGATTTTACAAACTTGCATTTGTCAACGAAATTAAATTATTGGGATGTTAGTAGAAAGATCTTCAACATCATTCCATTTGGCCTTTAAACTGAATCGCAGAGGAAGTCACTCAGATTTACGCCTGTATTCGTTAAATAGGACGAATTAAGGGAACGTACGATAAATACTGGAATAATTTTTAGCTACATAGATAAGAAAATATCGAATTTTTTGGATGCCTTATCCAACCCCAAAATTTCAAATAGCAAAAGGGGTTGAGTGAGACATTAAAATACAAAATTTGACACATGGAAGTAATCCTTGACGACTAAATCGTTTATTTTTGTATGAAGGGTACTTTATGCTAAAGTTGGACTTTGAAATTTAGAAAATTGAATACATGAAGCACGTAAAAATCTAAATCAGACGTTCTATATTATATTCCTGGCAGTAAAACAAAGGACCCCGCCAAATCCTTACGAAAAATGTCCTTCTACCAAACTCTTTGAAACTTTGGATTCTGAAAGGTATAATTTTACCTTAGATGTACTAGAAGTACGGAAGAATGCAACTTTAAGGGACCGTTTCTCAAAAAGATGAGTTTTTACTACTTAGCGCCTATACTTTTGATCAACTCGTTGAGAACTATCAGAATCCGAAGTTTCAAAGATTTTGACAGGATCATTTTCCGTAAGGATCTAGCGGGATCCTTTGCTTCAATTTGTGGCACACCTTCTGGGACATTTCGGGACTTGTTTTGTATAGTCATGGGCAATACGTTCTCGCAATGGACTTCCAAGGTACATCGAGGAGTGACTTAAACCTATAGTCGTTAACTGTTGCTTCTATGTAACAAATTTTGGTATCAAAAACGTTTAATTTTATGTATCGATCATGTGATCTCCTTTGTTGTTTGGAATTTTGAGGTGTTGCTCTTGCTTTACCCAGGGTACCAAGGAATTCATCAAAAATTCATAACATAAAATCTTCTTCTTCCATAATAAAATTAACGTATCCGGGCATTTTCGCATAACCTCTTTACGTATCGAAAAAAATAGCTCATCACCATAACATTGATTCAATGCTTTTATTATTATAGAGTTACTAGTCTGAAGATTTTGGTTGGATTTGCACCTCCACCGTATCCTGAGCCAACCTTTGCATTTCATGAAGACTAGGTCTTTCTCCGCCCCTTTCTACTTCTGTTTCTGCATCTGGTAAGTGCCTATATAATTAGCCCCCCATATCTCAGAAGATATCTTACTATCTTACATCATACTTTTTTCATCAGTATCCGCTCCAAACTTAATCTTGCACGAATTTTTAAGCACTTAAGTAGGTAACACTATTATAGGACATATTTAGTTATTAATGGTGGTTAATATGAAATAATAATGTGAAAATTCATTTTCAATTTTCCATCTACTACAAAATTTTTGTTGCTGTTGTCACACCTGCGCAGGGAATTGAACCCGGGACTTTTGGTTCCCGATTCCCGGCGAAAATTTTGTATTGGATGGAAAATTGAAAATGAATATTCACATTAATATTTCATAAGTGGGTAACTCCTTTATTATTTTTCTTTTAGTGTTAAGCATTAAAAGTTTCATTGGTGTAGTACTTTTACTCTTTTAAGGGTAACTTTTTATGTGCTGAGTAAATTGCGCGATTTTTGAACATTTTGGGTAATACTATGATAATGTGAATTATTATTATTTTCCTAATCACTTTCTGCTACATATAGGTAACTATTTAACCGGAAATGGAGAAGAGAAGCCTTTCCGGTTACATCAATTTTAAAGTTAGTTAAAGGAGCCTACCTCCATCCTTCTGCCACGTGTAGTTAAACATTCCTATCTCAAGACCCTTTTTGTGGCCATTCTTTATCCTTATTGATGAGTTTTACAGCTAATTATAGAGATTAGGTCCCAAGCGAGAGGCGTCCCGGATTTTGGCTTTATTAATTCCTTCACCTCTTATCTGTTTTCGTTTAGTTGAAAGCACTTTCTTGGTAAAAAGGTGTCTTGAAGTTTAAGGGTCCTTTGAATTTGTGGCATAGAAAACATTGTTCTAAGATAATGAAGTAACTCAGTTAGGAAAACTAAGTCTGTCCAAACAGTTTATCAATTGCTTTTTTTACATCTTGTTTGCCCACCACAAGTGGAGACGAAAAGTAAAAGTAGCAGCGAAGGGAAATTTATCCTTTTTTTTCCCGTGGGAAATTGTCTGAGTTAAAGTAAATGTGTCAACACAGAACAACAAGGAAACTTCCCGTACTAAGGAATGATTAAATTATGCGAAATAAAAAAGGTGTAGAGATTGTGTTCTAGTCCATAATTTAGGACAATTATTTATTACTGATGTATTTAATTTCCATTTGGATTTTTCAAATCTGAAGTCACATTACATGAAAGTGTGCGTTGATAAGTTAGGCTAAATACGTACGGGGAAGTGAAGGAGAATCTCATAAAAAATAAATACGTAATATAAAGTTCTATATCAAATACTTTGACACTTAATAGTGGTTAATACTAAATATCATACGAAAATTCATTTTCAGTTTTTTACTCAGTATAAATTACCTCAAGTAAATGAGGAAAAATTTGTTGCTGTCATCACACCCTCGCCGGGAATCGAACCCGGGACCTTTGGCTTTACTCACCAATGTAGCTGTTGTTATCTTTCGTAGCTTAGTGGTCAGAGCATTGGTGTGTAAAGCCAAAGATCCCAGGTTCGATTCCCGGCGAGGACGTGAAGACAACAACAAATTTTTTCTCATTAAATTGAGTAAAAAATTGAAAATTAATTTTCATATTAATATTATGCATACTATAAACAAGAAGGAGAGGACGGGAGAGTACAAAATATAGACATAGAGGAAGCAGTTAAAGAAATAACTTCGTAAGCGAAAGAATATGCAAGTGATAAGGGATAAAGAAAAGAGATTAGATGAGAGAGATTAGTGGAGATGGAAGGACCTCTGACGAAGTTCGCTAGTCTTGGTAGAGAAACGTTAGGAAGCCTAAAGGTCAGGACAGCATCAGTTCACCAAGCGACCGCGAAAGCCTTTACTAATTTATCAGTATTGTATAATATTAGTAGGCATATAACTTGGCACTCTCTTTGAATTAAATCTTTTGAAGATAAAGCATTTTATTGGATGTTATGATCTACTTTTTATTGTTTTTGGCCATACATCTTTCTAAATCGCCCCAACAGTGACAAAATTATAATCAGGTATTGCAATATCGAATGCAGAACGCCAGTAGGTATAATTTTCCCTATAAATTTCCGTCGTTAAAGCCCTATTTACATTTTGCGTTTAAGCGATTAGATATCCGACTTCGTAGTCGGTTTCCGTTGTCGATATCGGTTGGCAAGTTCCGGTTGATAACGATAGGATTTTCTGATGCTCATTTGTACCGAAGCGAGGTTCACTTGTAAATAGTTGACACGGTGGTTCACTCCACTCGGTTAGTAATACTACAATATAAGTACGGTTGGCCGTGGTGGTGGTACCCGCGCTGATTAGAGGGTGTTGCCATAGAGATGACGTCACGGAGGACGCCGCGACGCCGACGTTGAATCGCGCACGACGCCTGCCGATTGAGCCGCTGCTTGTTGATGGCGCCGGCTACGACAGTGGCGCTCGTCAGCCGATCCACGGTGGCTGTGCTTGCACGGTCGCGATCGGTCTTGTGACAGTTTTCCGTGTAACACAAAAACAAACGAAGAAACGTCTTGCGTAATGACGATCAAATGTGCCGTAAATGAAACTGTTGATTTAATATTATTGTTGTTATTGTGAAAACGCTTCACCGTCAGAACACCTGGAACTATGACCGCATGATGTCGCTGCTCAGTGTTACTGGTGAGTGAGATTTTCCGATGTAGTTTGTGACCGGTATCGGTCCGAGTGCATGCCAGTAATGCCTCTCCACGGGAAAACGCATTTCCTCGCACAATAAATTGCATTCTATGCCGACGTGGCATTTTCAGCTTTTCAATGAAGCTTCATTTAGCAAATCTATTATGGAGGGCCATGAGCTTTCAAAAGCTTCCCCTTTACTCAATATTATATGAAATAAAAAATAAAATAGGCTTAGAATTATTGATAATATCCTTGAGGTTAGGATTTCTTTTTATATCGGGATGGCACCTTGGGAAAAGCTTTGAATTTTCCTTATCTCTTTTCTTTGCAATAGGAAATGTAACACAGTTTAAAATCTGTGACACATTACGCAATTGAAAAAGTTCAAAGGGTTATTTTCTTCGAAGTACAGACATCCTGTAGATTTTCCCAAATTTTGCCCATACTACTTGTAATTATGGGACAATTAAGCGAAGCAAAGGAAGAATCATCTAATAACAATCTTCTTTAAGTTTATTAAGAACATTAAATGTGGAATTATTTCTGAAGCTGCTTTCCAATGAGCGACAAAGTTGCGACCAAGACGGACGTGAACTAGAAGAACAAATTCGTCGAGGTTGGTAAAAGCTTTCGCGACCAGTTGGTCAACTGATGCTATCCTGATTCTAAAGGCCGTTTTCGGTTGGAGTTGCATCCTTACGTTTCACTAGGACTAGTGGCGAGTTTCTTCAGAGGTCCTTCCATCCACTCCAACCAATGACGACCAATCAGGACAACATGAGTTCGTCGAAGTTTTTGATTAAAAGTGAAACTTCTCTATTTGTGGTTTCTATTTCTGTAAATTATTGAACATGCAGTTTCACTACAATTGTATCATACCAAGTTAATGATATGTTTTAATTATGGTTGGGACACCTTGCATACCTCGTTACTTACTAGTTATAAATAATTACAGTTTTACAATCTAATTTTATAAATTATTACAACGAGGAGAAGTATGAAAATGAAAATGCGAAGGCATATGGAAGTGTATGTAAATTATTTGATTAAGTACCTAAGTACCTATCATTTGCTGTTATTGGAGCAAAATTTCGTAACTTATATCAATTATTGCGAAAACAGAAAAACAATTTTTAAGTATATGTTTTTCGTCTCGATCTGGTTAGAATCAACCATATACGTTGCTTTTTGGTAAAACTTTTTTTAAAAAAGAAATTCTGCTAAATAACTTGTAGTACCTACTCAAAATAAATGTGGACAACTTTTTGCTAAACCACGAAGAGGTTTGTCATTAATAAGTCAATTGAGAGTAGGCGACCATTAATGCGTAACAGGACCTAAGAATGACCATGAATGAAAATAAAAAATTGATCAAAAAATAGGTCGAATCTGTTCTACAGCCTTATTCATTCCTTTAGCGTCGATAAAAGATTTATATTCTTTTAGGACACAAATTACTATTTGTCTGGTGTTATTCAGTTTATGTTTTTTCCGCATTAGTCACTGTACTATTAGTTTTCTAAGCGTTTACATTATTTATGTACCGAAAAAGATGAATATTGTACGAGAAATAAAGCCTACTATTATAAAAATTAAAGTACTTATGTCCTATAGTTTAATAATAAACCACATCATATACGTATATGTGTCTACCTACATATTATAGTTCAGGTAGTATTTGGGCATTTTTTTGGAAAACTACAATACAGTCTTGTTAAGAATAGGTATATTGCTGAATATTAAACAGGAATTTATGTTTATTTCTAATACAAAAGGATTATAGTTATTTTTAGGGTTCTGTAACTCTTATTGGACCGCATAAAAAATTAAGAGGGAAAAAAATGGTGAATTAAAAACCTTGAATTTGTCCTTACGCCTAATGCTAGTAAATTTCTAATTGCAATTTTCAGTGGACAAAATTAGGTTAAATCTGTTATATTATTATTATACCCAATTATTATATATTACCATATGGATCTGTCAATAATGGTTTATGTTATATAATCAATTAATAAAATATTTACAAAATTGAATATGCAGCAACTAATGCTGATAATACTAATAATAAAAATATCTTTACAATTATTAACATTAACGCTATTCAGTTATTTGTGATTTTGAAGACTTTCGCTGGCTTAAAGATTAATCTTCTTTCAGTTTTGCTGGAACATATCAGTGGTTATCGGTAATATTGAGAAAAGCTATGCAAAGAATCTTTTTCTGTCTAGGATTCGAATATATATCATCAGAAGCACAATTTTAAATGAAATTCAAACGGGCGGTGAAAAAAGCTGAAGGCAAAATCAGATCAACATCAACTAGGGGGAGATAGGCAATAGTACATAACGAAATCAAGCAAAAAATCATGAAGTAAAATACATGAAGTATCAGTTTTTCACAGACGAAGTTTTTCTATTCGGGCAATATTAAGCATTAAGGTTTTCGGCTTCATATTCCTTTAAGAAATACAAATTTATAACTAAATGCCATAAAAAGGGATACAACTTTATTCAAAAGGACATAATTTTAACAACTTTTTTCAGGACTCAAATTCTACCTGTAGTTACGGTGTTTTTTTATTTGTACAATATTTCTGACTGTTGTTTCAGTCTGTATATATTTTGATTCGTTTTTCGGTCGATTTTATGATGCTTTGGCTCCTGCTACCCCAACATGACACGATCCGATAAAAAAATGTCCTTTTGTAATAATCCCAAAATAATATCGCAGTAATCCATGTGCTGACTTTCGCAAATGTTTAATAAGATTAGTTGAATACCCAAGTCGAAAAGTATTGTTGTTAGATTTTGTACGAAGATTGTAAGCGTATGGGTTATAACTTAAGCAAAGGCGACAGAATGGAAAATCCATGCTTCCAAATGTAAGCTTATCTCCGAATCCATCGAATATCCCGAGGGGGTATGAAATTCCAGCCAGATATCATGAAAGCAATCGAGCGCAGAAAATTAAAACACGCGGGTCACGTTGGTAGAAATGAGTACAAACCACTCAGAGAATATAATTGAGGGTACACAATGCTAACGTGTTAATTTAATCTTGATTTACGTTAAACGAAACAAAATATTTTAATGTATTAACTTGCAAACAGAATATAATAAAGGCTGTTCTGAAATTATTGTCATCGACATAGTCTGTAGAGGTCTCTCAGAATCTGATGAACCTTGATTGTGTGTTTCGTCGAGACATTGATTTCTAAAGTAAATCATATCTGACTTTGCATACAATACGTTCCAGTATAAAGCCCGTTGTAGAAAGGATCAGTACAAAAGAAATCGTGTGTATGCTATCGAATCATTGGTCCATGATTTTTCGTATGTTTCAACTTCTACCAAACTAATTGCGCTTTAATTTGTGGTTTATTTTTAAATTTTTTAGTCGTTAGATACTCTATAACCAGTTGTTGTAACTAAAATTAAAAGAAAGGGAAATTCATCCCGCTGGAGCATTGTTTAATTATAAATCTAAAAAAAAATGAACGAATATTTTTTTAATTTAATTAAACTTTATGTTTCTATTTATAAAACTGTTTTTATGTTCTTTAATTGTCTCATTCAAAGATTGACCCTCATATGTTCTAATGCAGCTTTCATTTAATTTAAATTATTGTTTGAAAATAATTAGACTGTGCTGTAAGCTTACTAATTATTTTCCAATTTTTCATTCATAAGTTCATTTCGAAAGGAAAAGTCTGCCTATTGGTCTGTTGCCTCAAAACTGCGAAGCCACTAGATCAATTTTGTAAAAGATAGTTCTGAAGTCTTTGTGTGACTTTATTTTTCATTTTGCGACGCCGGAAGCCCTTGAGAAAGTGATTTTGACAAAAACAGTTTCTTGACTTCTTTATCTTGATTATAGTTTTATAAAAACATCTTGCAGGTATTTGATATTGTCTTGACTTTCAACGCAAGACACCAAGACAAGATTTTTATACTCCAGAGTCTAGACGTTTCGACAGCTTTATTGGAGCTATTAAATACTTGTAATAGTTACCTTCTTTATATATAAAGTTGAAATAACATTGTTTCTATGATGAATTATTTATTAACTTTGTTACGGGGGAGAAGTTTTAGTAGGTAGTTTGAAATATTCCTAATTGTCTGGTTTTACGATGCGAAGCCTGAATATTCCGTAGATCTGAAAAAATTCTTAAACTTTCTTACTAATTTTTCTGTATCTAAATCGAAATTGAAATTAAGTCAACTCGTTGAATAAAAAACAACCTACAAAATTCTTAATATAAAGTTTAATTAAAAGCTAATTGTTTTTTTCTCAATTAGAGCGTTAATAATTGAGAATATTCTTTCAGATTGGCTCCTTATTTCTAAGAGTTTGCTTTATTAAAATTTCGTTCGTAGTCATGGTCAATATGAAAATGCCATCTAAGATTCCGGCACTGGATTATCGATTTCGTTGGATTCCAATCCCAGTTGACCTTTGGCACTTTGTCAGATGTTTGAACTGTTCGAGTTCTATTTAGTTTTGCCTGCGTTATGAAATAAAAGCCGTTTAGTTCTTATATGGTAAATTTATTTACAATCATCTTCCATGTTATTGGAAAAATAAAGACGAATGTCAGAGAAGCACACATTTCAAACGTTTTTATTCCACACAATACAACAAGAAAGCAAGAGGTTATAAGTATATCACTCTAGACTTTGAAGCAATAAAAACGATAACGAAAGGTTTGACCTTTATTTTATTATGAAAAGTTTGGATCAAGTGGATAAAGAATAAAAGAGTCTGAGACTGTTAACTGAGGAATATCAAATGCTAGACAAGGTACATACTTACTAAGGTATTCAATACTTAATACCGAATGAAAAACGAAACCTTTATGGCATAACGTAAATAAATTAATTTCGAATGGTGGGGCATTTAAAAATTAAAATTTTGCAAACTGTACCATGTGACACATCAAATGAGTGCGCTTGTTGTAAGGGTCTCAAATATATTTTTTTATAATTTTAAAATAAATTGGT